TGCTTTGTCTCAGATAAAATAGATAGCAAGAAAGACAGATAGACCGGATAGATAGGCAGAGAGATAGAAAGATAGACAGATAGACCGATAGACACGAGAGATAGAGACACAGAGGCACAGAGACAGAGAGACAGAGAGGCAGGGAGACAGATAGACAGATAGACAGATAAAGAGATAGAGAGATAGAGAAATAAAGAGATAGATAAATGGCAAAATAAAAACATAGAGGGATAAAGAGATAGAGAGATCCCAGCGAGAGAGACAGAGAGAGAGAGAGAGAGAGAGAGACAGAGGGATAGAGAGATAGATAGAGAGAAAGAGAAATAGAGACATAGTGAAAGTGAGAAATGAAGAGAAAACACGGACAGAAGTAGAAGCAGAGAAAAAATGAAAAAACATAGAAAGATAGGTGGAGACAAAAAGATATAGATGTAAATGGATAGGCAGATACAAATTGACAGAACGCTCTAAATAGATACAAAGATAGATAGACGGATAGATTAGGTAGGTAGGTAGGTAGGTAGATAGGTAGGTAGGTAGATAGATAGATAGATAAGTAGATAGATTGATTGATGGGATGGGAGGGATGGATGGATGGATGGATGGATGGACGGACGGATGGATGGATGGATGGATGGATGGGTGTGTGGATGGATGGGTGTGTGGATGGATGGGTGGGATGGGATGGGATGGGATGGAATGGAATGGAATGGAATGGAATGGATGGATGGATGGGTGTGTGGATGGATGGGTGGGATGGGATGGGATGGGATGGAATGGAATGGAATGGAATGGAATGGATGGATGGATGGATAGATGGATGGAGGGATTGAGGACCATCACTTCGCTCATCAGCCGTTGGTCAGCCATCCTCGCCCACGCCGGTACGCACGCGTTTGCGGCTTCCTTGCTTTCACTGCTGGCTGATGGCCTCGCCAATGGGAAGGGGTTCTGCCACCCCTTGGGCAGCTCCTCGCCCGACCCCTTGCTGCCTCCACCACCCCCAGTCGACTTCCAGGGCGGTGAGGAGGACTTTGGATTTTGCCTTTGGGTTTCATGGATTGTGCACATCTGGAGACTCGCCAGTATTAAATTTTTAGCCAAACCGGTGGATGGGTGGGTGGGTGGGTTGGGTGGAGTGGATGGAGTGGGTGGGTGGGTGGATGGATGGATGGGTGGAAAGACAGATTGGTAAAGAACTAAAAAATTAAATAAATAAATGAAAAATAGTTAGTTAGTTAGTTAGTTCGTTCGTTCGTTAGTTAGTTAGCTAGTTAGTTAGTTAGTCAGTCAGTCAGTCAGTCAGTCAGTTAGCTAGCTAGCTAGCTAGCTAGTTAGTTGGTTAGTTGGTTAGTTGGTTAGTTGGTTAGTTAGTTAGTTAGTTAGTTAGTTAGTTAGTTAGTTAGTTAGTTGGTTAGTTGGTTAGTTGGTTAGTTGGTTAGTTGGTTAGTTGGTTAGTTGGTTAGTTGGTTAGTTGGTTAGTTGGTTAGTTAGTTAGTTAGTTCGTTCGTTCGTTCGTTCGTTAGTTAGTTAGTTAGTTAGTTAGTTAGTTAGTAGCAATGCATGGTTTTTTGAATGTTTTTTTTGCATGTTTGCTTCTTTTGCCGTCACCTGAGGCACACATAAAGTGGCTTTTGCATGTTGTGTTACAAGAGGCTGCAAAATCCCGCGTCGAAAATGTACGTGTATTTGCTAGAGATTTGCATGCATTTGGGCCGTTCTTTTGATTTAATTCCGAAAAGACGTGGGCCAAATATTGTCTAGCTCAACATCTCTGCACAAAAGGGCCTTATAGGTGAAGTGAGCGGCAAATTGGTAGGTAGAAATTTTCCCCACTGGAAACAGCTGTAGCGACAGACAAACGAATTTCAGGGATAATAAAGTCAGCTAAAACTGTTCCTGCCATCTTTTGTTCTTCCATAAGTAGACGACTGCCTGTGCAACAAATGAACATATCCAAGCTATCCAAGCTATCTAAGCTATCTAAGCTATCTAAGCTATCTAAGCATACAACAGTTCTAAAATGGTTTCCCCTTGCAGTAGCTGGTATTTCACACGTTTGGCCAAGCAGGAAACCATTCCAGAACCCTTCCCAAAGATAAATACCTCCAGGGGTAGGTAGGCAGGTACAACCCAATGCCAATGAATTTCAGTGATAATCAAGTCAGCTAAAACTGTTTCTGCCATCTTTTGTTCTTCTACAAGTAGACGAATGCCTGTGCAACAAATGAACAAATGAAAGTTACCTAAGCATACAACAGTTCTAAAATGGTTTCCCCTTGCAGTAGCTGGTATTTCACACGTTTGGCCAAGCAGGAAACCATTCCAGAACCCTTCCCAAAGATAAATACCTCCAGGGGTAGGTAGGCAGGTACAACCCAATGCAATGAATTTCAGTGATAATCAAGTCAGCTAAAACTGTTTCTGCCATCTTTTGTTCTTCTACAAGTAGACGAATGCCTGTGCAACAAAAGAGCATATCTAAACTATCTAAGCTATCTATAAGCATACAACAGTTCTAAAATGGTTTCCCCTTGCAGTAGCTGGTATTTCACACGTTTGGCCAAGCAGGAAACCATTCCAGAACCCTTCCCAAAGATAAATACCTCCAGGGGTAGGTAGGCAGGTACAACCCAATGCCAATGAATTTCAGTGATAATCAAGTCAGCTAAAACTGTTTCTGCCATCTTTTGTTCTTCTACAAGTAGACGAATGCCTGTGCAACAAATGAACAAACTATCTAAGCTATCTATAAGCATACAACAGTTCTAAAATGGTTTCCCCTTGCAGTAGCTGGTATTTCACACGTTTGGCCAAGCAGGAAACCATTCCAGAACCCTTCCCAAAGATAAATACCTCCAGGGGTAGGTAGGCAGGTACAACCCAATGCCAATGAATTTCAGTGATAATCAAGTCAGCTAAAACTGTTTCTGCCATCTTTTGTTCTTCTACAAGTAGACGAATGCCTGTGCAACAAATGAACATATCTAAGCTAAAGCTACCTAAGCATACAACAGTTCTAAAATGGTTTCCCCTTGCAGTAGCTGGTATTTCACACGTTTGGCCAAGCTGGAAACCATTCCAGAACCCTTCCCAAAGATAAATCCCCAAGGTGCATTGTCTAGGGTGACATCTCTGTGCCATAGCTGCCCAGCCCCCCCAAATGTCCCAAAAGAACAAGTGTCCAGTCAGTGGTGTCCTGATGAAGGTAGGCAAACTTACATTTTTTAAATTGACAGCTGCGACAACTGTAGTTCGACACACAGCTGCTTGCTGATTCCGCATGTGATGATTTGTTCCTTGTTTTTCTCCTTTGACGCAAAAACACTATTGTTTTGAAAAAACTGCATGTAGGAGTTTGCTGTTTTATTAAAAAATTATCTGGTTGGACATGTCTGCATAAAATTAAACAAACAGTCGCACGGGAAATGGAACGAGTCCAAAACTAAATTCGATTGAAAAGGGGTGACTTAGGGGACATTCTGAAAGCATTTGGGTTCGGGTGTACTTTAGTGGTTTGGCAAGAAAGGAAGCAAAGAGCGCGGGCAAAAACCTGGCTCCATAGGTAGTAAATGATACGACCATCTGTGGCCGCCACCCACTAAAAAATGTTGTGGAGTATCATGGAGTGCTCTTTGCAGTGTTTTTTTTGATTCGCCTCATGTTGATCTATTTTTTCAGGGCGCAGATTTCCTCATCATTTTTTCCTGAAATGCGATGGTTTCAACAAGGATTTTGTAAATGTTTTTTAATGGTTTTTTAAGGGTGGAGGATACCATTTTAGAACCCATTTTAGAACCCAAAAACGGAATAGTTGCCAAAAAAATTGGGTTCTAAGACCCCCCTGGTAGATTCCATTTTAGAAACAATTTTTGGGTTCTAAAATGGTCCCTAAGGGGGTTTGAAGCAACTTGAGTGGATTTAATTTCGACATGCGGCGTTTCGGCGCTGCTGCTGAAGATAGCATGTCGCTGTCCTTGCCGAGTTGTTTGCGTGCAGCTAAATGTCGTTGTTTCGCCTTGATCTTAAGCTAATTTCCACCCACACGTGTCGTTTGGGCTCCGTCTACCGATTCCTTTATGTGGGCTCGCCGTTATTCCGCTGCAATGTTGTTATTATTCCGTCATGTTACCTGAGTTTCTTGATTCCTGTGCCCGTGTGCCCGTGGATTGACTGTGGGCCCGTGCCCGGGTGCCGGTCGATTGCCCGTGTGCCCGTGTGCCCGTGTGCCGTGAGCAGACCCATATCGATGCAACATAGCCTAGCGCCGTGCATGATGCAACATAGTGTAAAGGGCAAATTTGTGCGCTGGCTGCGGAATTCTGGCATGATGTCCGTTTTCAATTGGTGATAGTTGTACGGTTTTTGCTACGTGCAATTCTCCAGTTCCATGTCTTTTTTGCTGGAAAGGCGTTGGCAGAAATGCATGTGTCCCATGGGTTCGTAATTCCAGAGAGACAAATTTCGGAACAACCATTAACTGAACCGTAGATATTTTGATATTTCATTTCAAGAGAAGAAACAAGTTCAAGAGAGTGTGGCGTCTGCATAAATTTCATGGTTTGTTGCTCGGCGTGTTGCCAACGGAAAGTGGGGTGGTTGGTGTGAGTTTGGCTCAACGAACGAGTGTTGCCTACCGCATTTCATAAACCACAGTAAACGTTTGCGACATGCCGTCGGTTGTTCATTATAGTATATATGGATGACACTCATTACTCACACTCCGCCATTGACAACGGCGTTTTCGTCACTCGTGGCAACCATGGAAGAGATAGCTGGCAATGTCGGGGCCTTGAAATTTATAAGGTCAAAAATTGCACTGCATAAATTTGCAACAACTTTCTGGACTGAATTTCTTATGTTTCTTAGCCACAAAACCAAATTTTTTCTCATTTTTGGTGCCGATATGTTTGGATCCCAATGTGGGTGCGGAAGCAACCAACCCCCGAATAGTAAGGTCGGAAAACTCGTCGACGGGCAGGCAGGCGGTATCAGTGGCGATGTTGGGTTGCTTTAGCGACATTTCCATGGCATTGGGGGAGCTCCATCATTGTATCCAGGTTGCTTTAGCGACATTTCCATGGCATTGGGGGAGCTCCATCATTGTATCCAGGTCAAAATTGACGAATCTTTGGAAACATTTTCTGCCGAGCAGCGCTTCCATGGTGAACGGCTGGACACAATAGAGTCACTGGGCCGTGGTCTTTGTGGCCTTGTTTTTTTTTGGCAGCTACAGCTACATTGGGCAATCGTCCACCCAACGTCGGCATCAGCTGTTGTTTCAGACGTTCACACTCGGATTTGTGCACCTGATTCCTTAGCTCATGATTGCTTGCATTACATTAGGACTCTCTCAGTCTCAGTGCTGCCCACAGAACCAGACAATAAGGAGAAAACTCAACCAAATCTTGGACAAGGTGCCTGAATGCTGCAGAATACGTTACGTTCCCGGAAGGGACATGCCAGCCATAGCCTCCAATCACAAACCACATGCGTTCGTTTGCCCATGAAGTAGGTGACATTTATGAACGCATCTGTTATCCTATCGCTATTTGAAGCTTTGGAGATGTTGGTTGGTCATCCAACATTTGGATGATGTTGGCATGCTCGAAGGTTGGCTGTTGCATGGACGATATTCGAAAATTCGCACTGCCGACTGCGGTCGCCTTCGAGGTGAATGCGAAGGTGGGAAGCGCAGAGCAAAGTTGGAGCACCTGCATTGGATTCATAATGTGGTCTTCAGAATTTGGATGTTGCAGTCACAAGCTGCTTATGTCGTACAAAGAACTATTCTTTTAGCATCTCTTTGTGTTTGCTTTCATCTACTGTCGGTATGCGAAAACATCTTGAACATGGAACCTATTCTCGCTGCTCAGAACCTTTTGCCGTCCTGACCAAGAATTTACTGATCCTTCTTTCGGGGGGAATTCCTTAAATTCAGCTCCGGTGTGCCATTCCAGAATGCTCTGGCGCACCTGTGAAACTGCCCCTTTCCAATTTACAGCAGAACAATGGCCACTCTACATTCAACGTTCACAGGCCCCAATCATCCCACTGAAATCTGGATGTGGACCTACTTTTCCCACATTTTCCCACATTTCTCACATTTTCCCATATTTTCCCATATTTTCCATAAGCTTTCCGTTAAATGATGCAACCAAGGCCAGCGTTGGTCGCTGGAGTGGGCTGTCCGAAGCCGATGGAGCCCTGTTTGGTGAGGAGAATCCAAAGAAGTTCCTGCACAGCAGTGGGTCAGTAGGTTGCCCCGGTCGCCCCCAAGTGTTCCAAATCTGTGCACTGTCCATTTGGTTCAAGACTTCAGAGTTCCAGGATGGGTTGAGTGTTGGGATGTGTTCCGGATGTTGCGCTATTTGTGAGGTTCTGCAACAGCACAGGCGGAGTGGAGCGCAAATAGGGTGGTCTTGCAAAAAACATCTAAAAACGAATCCCATGCAATCCAGCATCTTGATTGTCGGCGCTTTCTTTTGACAGAGAAAACAAACTGATGATCTGTGGGGCCATACATTATGTATCATTATGTCAAAACCTCTGGAACACGATTCAAGCTCAATTTGGACTCTGGACTAGATCTTCTGGCATAGCACGGGGCATCTCAGATAGACCTTTTCGGGCGCCTACGTGGCGATCGCAGAAGTGAGGTTGAAATGGAGCGGTGTTTCAAGCAGAAGCCTCATGACAGAGGATGCCCAGGACGGGCGGTGGATTCATCCATCTGAATTTTCTCGGTGATGCTGCTTGGTGCGGAGTCCGGACAACAAATCTATACAAATCTTATAATATCTTATAACCCTGCGCAAAGGCAGCCATGTCAGTTTCCAAAGAATATATATATATATATTTAATCAAGGTGTTGGTCGAAGTGAACTGTAGCAGTGATAACTAGTGATATGACATGAACGTTGTGACTCTATATATATACACACACCTAACAACTTTAATAAACTTTCCATATCATCATTGCATCACAGACGGTGAATAGGGGTAGAACAGGACGACGACCAGAGCCAGAGCACTCAAGGCCGCCTGGGGCCACTCCTGGAACCCTGGAACCTGCTGTCGGGTTGCAAAGCTGGATAAATACAATTTACTTTTGGCATTTTTCCCTACCTGGTGAGATATGATCATTTATGAGAAATTTTTGACACATGGGAATTACACGTTCTATCTTGTTTTCTCCCTCTTAGCAGGAGGGTCAGTCAGCATGTCTTGTTTTTTCCCCAGATAGCGAAACAACGGGGTTCTTACTTCAAGTATAGGATGCGCTTTGGAGCTGGCCTGCTGGTGCCGGTGCAGGGTGCTGCTGCAGAGCGCTGCTTCACGGTGCCGCTGCCAGGGTGGCGTGTGTGCTTTGAGCTGGCATGTTGGTGCCGCTGCAGTGCCGCTGCAGGGTGCTGCTGTTAGAGGGAGCTGGCTTGCTGGTGCCCCTGCAGGCTGCCGCTGCAGGGTGCTGCTTCAGGGTGCTGCTGCTAGAGTGGTGTGTGCGCTTTGGAGCTGGCGTGCTGCTTCCGGGTGCTGCTGTTAGAATGGTGTGTGCGCTGTGGAGCTGGCCTGCCGGTGCTGCTGCAGGATGATGCCGTTGCAGGCTGGCGCTGATGGTTGCTGCTACAGAATGCTTCTTCAGGGTGCTGCTGTCAGAGTGCTGTGTGCGCTTTGGGTGTCGCTGCAGGGAGTGGCTGCGAGATCTCTATGGCAGGGCCATGATGGAGATTATGTGTATGCCGTAGCAAAAAAGGGACGCTTCGTTGCCACCAAAAAATATCTTTTGCTATCTGGGGTTAATGCTTGTGCAATTTTCCTTTGCCCTTTTTGGTTTTCAGGGTGGATCATCAAATAAAGGGGTTGGTTGCGCAGAAAGTTGCTTGAAGGTCCGACCGTGCTTGGGCCAGACTGGCCCCAAAGTGCCTGGGATTGAATTGCAGAACTCGTAAATGGGCGAAGAACTGCCTCAAGGGAAACATAGGTTCGGTTTAATCGATAAAAATGAGGTTTCAATAGAAAAAGGAAGGAACGGCAACTTAATCTGAATAGTTGCGGGATTGTATGTATCACATGTGCACGCAGAGATTTGACCCGAAGAGACGTCCTCTTGAACAATAATTTTTGAGATCAATAAACAAGGGGGATGGGATGATGAAGCCCGCAAACAGGAACCCGGTATTTCCCATATTTGACACTAGCATATGCCAAAAATTACGGACCCACAAACAACCACCTTTTGTGATCAAACCCTAGTAGCAAACTCAGTGACTTCCGGGTGTTCTCGATTTTTGAACAACGCAACGAGGACATTTGGCAAGAGCCTTCTGGCCACATGTTCCAACTGATAAGTCGTCCGTCACACAAGGTGTCACGCAGCGCAACTTCGGCACGGATGGAGTTCGGCAATCAAACCTAACCACCTTGTGCCTTGGCTTTGCCAGAATCCAGGTGCCACAAAGTTCATTGGTTCCCCTGTGATGCTCAAGCAAGATTGGGGGTGTGGGTGTCCCAGTTGGAGAGCCACCATTCACAATCAGCCTCTAGGTATTGTTTATTTATGTTTATTGATGTTTATTCGTGTAGCCTGGATGTAGAAAACCCATTGGTTGGTGTCAATTCCACCCTGCGAGATTTTCCGGGTGCAGTGATTCTTCAGGACACTGGTGGACAAGCTCCTTAGTTGCACCCAGTGGGATGCCTCGGAAGACGGTCACAAATTTCAAGGGGTGTGACAGTGGCTCCTGGAATTTACCTTCGGAAACGCCTTGGTTTGATCTCCATGATGTGCCGTTTACTCCCTAAAATTGTTCTAAGTGCAGTGCATCGGTTGATTCTTCAAATCAGCTGTGCCTGAGCAGAGCTGAAGTAGTTCAGAACCACTTGGAAAGTCTCAGTTTTGATGTGAAGCAGAGGCGCCTCCCAATCATGGAAAGACAGAGGGTACCGTGTGGCATCCTGTGGGCGCACTTGCCCAGGATGGCCAACAACAATTCGTCGATGGTGCCGCAGGAGGGTTTGAACGCTGTGATCACATCCAGGCGCAAACGTATGCAGTGAAAAACTGTCACATCAATCAGCGACTAAGTTGGCTGGCAGGTTCGCTCATTGTGTCCTGGAACCAAGCTCCAAGAAACGTATCGCGTCACTTGGTACCATCAGATTTGTTTAAGCAGCGATGCGATTGGAGAAAGACCAGGCCACAAGGATGTGCACTTAGATGACTTACAGCATCTTACAGCCCTGTTAGATCTGGTTACAGTAGCTACTTTGACCCTACAAATGGATTCAGCACGAGATCAGCCTCTTACCTGTGCAGCTGCCAGCTGAGAATTTGACCATGCAAAATCCGGTCAAACTATTCTCAAGAACCTCAAACTCCTCCTTTCTCCATTGGCCCCTCATTTTCGATCAGCCCAAATCTCTGCTGTTTGATCAGGTTTGACATGGTAGCCATGATCTTCCTGCTGTACGACCTTTGTATCACACCTGTTGCCATTGCATGGGATTTCCCCATGTCAGGATGGTTGCTGCACCTTGACACTGTCCTGAGACGTGATGTTGGTTTTCTCTTAACCGCAGCATGCGTTTGGACGTGTTAATTCCTTCACACCATTTGGCCTTATGTGGCAGTAGTGGCCTGAAGTTTCAAACACTTCCTGGCAGACATTTGCCAGCCAGGCTGCACAACTCTTGGTATTCAGGAATGTTGAGGAATTTGCTGGCGAGCAGCCTCTTTCCCTTTGAGGTATTGCACCGCCACCGTTGCCTTTTTTTGGACAGTGGACATGGTGGTCACCTCCCGCACGGGGTTCTACCGAGCAGGCGTGGAGATTCAGGGCTCATCCATCATCACGTCATGGATCCTGCCCTTTTCATTACACATATTACACCTGTTGCCACAGGTGTCCTGGTGTCGGATGCTTAGGATATATTAGGATTCTCCGATCAGCTGTCCCATCCCACGTCTTTGGAAGATGAGGTTGAGCCCGAAAGAGATTCTGAAGAAATATGCCCGCACGACCCTCTTCCCAGACTTGCTGATCGTCCCTTGGTGTGACCAAGGTTTAAGAGAAAGCCAGGGTTTCAGCCACAACTAGTCTGGTTCTGACACGAACGAGTCATCTACACTGGTTCTTTGCAACATCTTCAGCAAATGCGGATCGCAGGAAGCAAAGGATGATTCCGAGAAGGAATCAAACGTCATGAAGCCAATAGATATACAATCAATTATATAATATTATATATATACACTCATAATCAGAATCACATATAATAATCTCTATGAAATAGTATATACATACAGTGCGTACGTACGTACGTACGTACGCACGTACCTATGTATGTATGTATTTATGTATTTATGTATGTATATATATATATGGATGGTATAGATACGTGCACATGAAAAGAGTGGGTTTTCTGTCTTGAATATTCCTGAACAATGTCACATGGCAGCGACACTCATCTCCACCTGCTCAGATTGGGATGTAGACCCCAAGGTGTCGAAGGTGCTTAAAGGTGCCAAGTAGATTTTGCATCTTTATACATATGCATGCGCAATGCTGTACCGTAGTGCGCACTGTACTGAGGGTGAGCTGCGTGGCCATGAGTTCCTGAGGTGCTCATTGACTGGTTGACGGTTTTTATCAATGTGATCTTCCCGGAAGAGCAGGCACCACTGGTACAGCGGCATTGACTTGATGATGCTCCTCCGCTTCCTTCTCCTCCTTATCATCATCGTTATCGTCGTCTTCACACTAGAATTCAAACTGTGATTTTCATTTTATTTTCCCATCCATCGGATTCACTGAAGCCCCATGAAGTGCCTATCAAGTCAACTGATCGACATGTCCACATTCCACCAATGTAGGCCGTCGAGAATCCGGAGTTGGTTGGTGCATAGCTTGGATCTTCATTGCTCACAGATGTCCACTTTGAGCATAGCCACACCACTCATTCGCATCTGAGTTACAACGCGGGGCACATATGATTTTGAATAAATGATCCATATACATACAAAATGAGCAAAATATATGCCAGAAAGGCCCATTTCTTTCATTCCCCATGTGTCAAGATGGATTTTCATTGGCCCAAACTTCAAGGGGATCCTGCCGGCGTGGCACTAAGGTGCCAAACTGGTGCGTTTTTCCAAGGTCACCCGAGCCATTCGCATTTTGAGTGCCTTGGAATCGTGGTTCTTTCGATTGGGAAGCAATACCTGGATAAGCACTGCTTGCAGCCGGCATATGCGATTTGAACTAAATGATGAGGAGAGGTGACACTACAAGACACATGGCTTTGAAGAAGTTGAAGTCACCATGTTACAATTTTGTTTGCAACTGAGGCGTGACGAGGGTGATTCGAATCCAAGAATACCTGGAGCAGCTTGGCCTTGTGGGGCCTTTGGGATTCTAGCAGCTTCGCGCTGGTGCAACCTAGAAAAATACCGCAGACTGGGCTAAGACATGTCAACTTCTACTGGGATCATTGTAGCATATTCCAGCGGTTGTTTTTTAATTTGACCTTCTTGTGGGACTTGCAGCTTTTGCACATGTTTGGGACGGTTTGTGGATGAAGAATGTACTTCATCACCAGTGCGCCTGCACTTCCGAGCTAGGCCTTTGCAGCATTGGTTGGGTGGCTGTATCTAAGAATTCTAATAGAGCGGCACTCCTTCACTCCATGTTTTGAGGGGGCTATATGTTTGGAACCACTTGGGCTGCCAGTACTGACTGTACTTTAGCAAAATGAAGAAACAAAGTGGCGATACATACGATATATACCTCGCGACATTGAGGCATGTGGGTGATCGTTTGCATGGAGGATCATCTTTGATGCTTGGCCTACTGTGCAGCTGGCACTTGCTGCGCAACCCACTGTAGAAGATGGCTGTGTGTTGTGGTCCCCTCGCCATGAACATCCAATTGGTGCCCAATTATCCATTGGTATGAGCCATTATCCCCAACTAACCAGGTTGGTCCAAAAGCCATCAGCATCCATGTTTTGATGGCATTTATCATTATTTATCCAGGTGCCTCTCCAGCCCTGCATTTTTCAGCCTTTCTGTGCCTCAGGAAATATGTGGGTGACATGGCGCGCTTGGTGCCATGGCTTATTCAAGTCTACGTCCGTTGGTAGATGGCCAGATTTATATAGATTTATAACCTCTTGCACCCATGATGCATCATACCCATTTTTTCTGAGTGATTTGGGTGATTGCGGTCATGTACCCCAGGTTGTCATCATCCTTTGGATCAATCATGTCATGAGCTGCACCTGGTTCTACGTGGGCCGCATCACCACTGGTGATACAGGCACTGGGACTTTCTACAGCTGGGATGTTGTGCTGGAATGGCCAGACGGAATAATGACTCCCCATAAATTCTGGCCTCTGAACGAGGAATGGCCAACCAACATTTTGAGTGTTGTCAATGTTGCGAAAGAGTCAGGCAGGTTCCGCAGATTGAGGCAGAATGATCTACTGCGAACGGAGTGAGTTAGGTGGTTCTTTCGTGTGTTTGCCGAGAAAAACGATTTGGCTCCGGGGTGCGGGTAGGGCCTGTAGGGTCCGGAGAGACGACCGTTTTGGCCCACTCACACAGGCAGGTTGTGGGCGCCTTTGATCCAGGCAAAGGCTTAGATGGAAGGGGTGACTGTTGCCGGCCTGCTGTAGGCACGTGGAGGCTTAGTCAGCATGGCAAGCTATTGCTGGTTGTGGATGACACGTAGCAGTTGTGCGTCACATTGACTTGGAGTACTGCTCTGCAGTTTTCTGCAATGGATAATATAAAATCTCCAAAGGGTGGCTCTTGCAATAAGTGTGGTGGCCTTGCGCCGGGTTGATGTGACGTGTACAGCTGGAGTAGAGGATGGGGGAAGGCTGGGATGGGGTATGTTGGAAGGGGGCGATACGATTCTGATTGTTTGTGCATGCGCCCGCCTATGCAGCATGCGCCCGCCTATGCAGGAGGCGCTTTGCCAAAACCCAAACTTGATACAAGGTTGCAGCCCAGACAGCGGTCAGCAACAGAGCAATGATTGTGACGAGTTCTATTTGCAGACCACTTTTGGAAAGTGTGGCCCGCTTTTGTGCAGCTAATGCAAGAAGTGAAATGGGCTCTGCACTTGAGGAGGGGGAACGAAGCTTGATGTAGAGACTGCGATCATGTCCTGGCAGAGTTGAAGGCAAGTACTGCTAGAATTAAATACAGTACTATTGAATAGAAAGACATGCAATCTTTCGTTCATGTGAGTGTATTACTTGTACGGCGCGCTGTGCCTTGACAGTTGAAATGCACAGGGCGAGTGGAAATACTGCAGCCCAACTCTGTTAAGACAGCAGAAGGTTTTGTATTTTCTTTCCATCAGCGTGTATCTTGGGGCTATGTGATGGCATGATGGTGTGCCATGGGTGTGAAATTTGGGCACACGCCTGCATACGTAGGTGCTTGGGCAATCTTGGGCACCACAGACAGCTGTCAGCGATGAGCAATAGTTTCACGGGTTCCAGTTTAGAGCTATTGTTTGCACATCCTCTTTGTGAGCGGTGCGGCAGTGCATCCGAGGGGCCACAGAGCTCCGTAGATACTCTCGTACTATTTAACGTAGACCTGGTGGCCAAATATCAAGCAACAAACGTGTTAGTACAAATGCGTCCTGATGGCCACGTTTAATTTGCAAAACAACGTTGTAAATGCATTTTTCTTAAACGTAGACGTAGAGAGGTAAATTTTTGCGCTGTTGCAACTCTGAATAGCTACGTAAAAAGGTCAAGAACTGCTCGCAAAATGCATCACCATGGCTATGTTAAAGCTGCATTCTGGTGTGAAAAGAGATGTTGCAAAATCATGCAAAATCTGGTTCATTTCCATTTTTATGTAGGTTTTGGGCGGAAGGAGGTGACATTTCACATGATTTCGCATTAATCGCGTGTTTGTGAAGGGGACGATACTGTGACAAAATAAAATGTCTATTATCTGTTGCTTGGTGTGATGGGTTGGCGTGGTGGTTTTGCCTTGGTGCGCGAAGTGTTGTTCTCGTAAGTTGCTCGGAATCATCCTTGGCGTCGAATTATGCTCAGCTGACTTGACCATCTGAGATGTTGATTGGCAAAAGACATGGCTGGCGTGTTGGGGAGGGAATCCGTTGCCAAGAGATGGGGACGGCGTGTGTGTGTCTGTGGAGTCGAGGAGGGTTTGATAGGGGGCAGTTTGGGAGACAACACAGTGCCCTCGACTACTTCTTCTTTGAGCTACTTCTTCCCTAAGCCACCTCTTCTTTGAGCTATCTCTGTCAAACAATTTTTCTTTGAGCTACCTGGCTACCTCATCTTTTCACATCCTCTTCTTTGATTCACCTGGGAGCTAACCCCCCCTCCTCCGTTCCTCTTTGGGCCACCTCTGGAGCATGCGACGGTTCCCGTCAGGTACCAGCTGGCTTGATGATACCATCACGGATGAGAACAGCCCGCTCTACTATGATACCATTCCGCAGCTTGGAACTTGAGGAGCGGAGTCGATGGACCAATTGAACATGGCTATTTCTGCTGTCTGTGAACAGGCTGCTTTTTTTCGCAAAGGAAATGGGTTTCAACAGCAAAGACCGCCAACAAGATTATATCAACATATATCAACCACCACTGGGAAAATCAAGTCCTCACCTATAAGGGCCCCACAAGTCCATAAAGCTGATCCCAGGAATCAGCTGCCACTCCTCGAAGTCATGGGGAATAGAGTGGTTAGGAGGGTGCGTGATGGAAGACCTTGCTTCGGGGCACTTGTGCTCGGACATAATCCGGACATCTTGAATGCCAACTGAGGCTCTTTCAATACACTACGGCATTTCATTGGGCGATTACCCAAATGACGCCAGGATCCATGCAGGCTGGGCGGGGTAACGCGGGTTCGCGGCGTTGCCCCATCAGGTTTCAGCTAGCTCTTCTTGTCGCATCTTCGTCGTGAATATATCTATATAATTTCTATATATCTATATATAATATACATATACATATCTATATCTATATATATATATATGTATAGATATATCTATCTATCTATATATATATACAGTAAATGTCCGAGAAGTCCTGGAGCTACAAAGGAATGGATTAGGGTGTCATGACATATTCCCCTGAACTCACCAACCCCGGCACAAATATCTATGTTGGGTCAACCGACTGAAACTGAAACTTATTTGGGTTTCAATGCTGATGATGGGCAATCTCGCGCAATTATTGCTTCAGTGGGTTGCTTGAGGGCGTGAGATCATGGCAGAGAGCAAAATTGATCAAAATTGCACCCGGGCAGGCGATTTTACAATATTTTTGCACTGACTGCAACCAAGGAAATATACCCATCAATCATAAAGCATATAATTGCATCCCCATCATTGGTTTATTTCGTGACTATATCCCCATTAAATCGCCAGGAAAAGTCATACATCCCCATTCAATCCGCTATCCTCTTTAGCACATGTCTCGAACCCTGCCAGAGGTCTTCCCCAGGAATTCGCAGGGGCCTCGGTGACAAAAGACGTCCGCATCAGATCAGGCATAGGAGGCAAGGCAATTTGCAGGATTTCCTCACAGCAACCAACTCAACTAGAAAAAAAAGAAAAACAAGGAGGAAGGAAAGGAACGGACAGGACAAGGAGGGGATGGGAAGGAAGTCAGAAAGTTGCAACTGGGGTTGCTTTTCTTTTTGAGCCTCTTTTACTTTCTTTGAATACTGGTATTGGCCAATGTCAAAAACATGGGGATTAAGGAGTCATGTCCAACCATTGCGCTTACTTTTGTGTGTCTGAACGTGGTGGTTTAGCCACCAAAAAAGTTTATTTATTCATATGTCGTCCCATTATTTTTGCGTGGCGTATTGATAGAAAATGCGTTAGTGGGAAGTTCTTGCAGCTCGACGCCATGCTCACCAGATCATTAATACTTGCCAGCTAGATTATGTTTGAACATTGAACCAGGTTTTATTCAAGATAGTGTTTGGAGAAAACATAGTCGGCTCGTGTCGTGGCACACCCGATGTCCAAAAGCTTGGTTTCGCCAGCATTCACTGGCGCTACTTGTGTTGCTACTCCAAGGTTCGAGCGCTTGTTCAATATCTTCGCGTTGGTTTTTGGGATGTTCTTCTTCAGCTCATTGATTTCATCGTTGTCGGCCACTATGGCAACACGACTGCATCATCACCCAGTTGCAGCCATCTGGGGGGATACCAGGTACGTGAGGTCTAAAAGGTAGGCCAAAGAGGCAAGACCCTTTTTTGTAATTGCGCGATTTCGGAAATAATGTGGGCAGCCAGGTTCTCCATTTCATTGAGCCGAGGTGAACTTTAGAATGAAGAGCACGCAAACTGCAAATCAGAATCTTTGCAGCAATCGGCGCATGCTATTCATTTCCAAAGATTATTTGCCGCAATGTAAAGTAAAGGTATTGCAGTTCTCATCAGGAGCTTTGCTTTTGTGTTTGGTATTATTTGGTATTGTTTGATATCCTTGTGAAGCAAGATCCGAGAACGTTCATGGTCTCTATCAGGATGTCGGAGTTGCGGCGCTTCCTACGGCAATCAAAGATCAGCTCCAAATTGTCTGTAGGCCTGGCTGGATGGAACCCTCTGGTCGGAGGACCTTTGATCATTTTGCCGATGATTCAGAAACAAATTTGCATCCTAAGTTTACCATGAAATGAGATTCCATAAGATTCCCAAGCCCATCTTCCCAGAAGTGGCAGGTCTTCAGAAAGAGGCGCTGGAACGATTGATGGAGGTGAAACCCCTGATGGTGACGGTCCCTTGGTGGAACGGTTTTGGGCCTCGGTTTTCTGTCGGTTTTCTGTGGCGCAGATTTTTCGGCGTATCGCTGTGGGTTCCAAGGATGTGAAAGCGCTGAAGTTATTGTCAGCTGATTTGCAGAAGGAGCTGCAATATGAGCTGTGCCTGCCATATTTGATGCGCACTTGGGCTGAAATCAGAGGGTTGTGCCACTGGGCCAGTGCCCCATTTGATTCATTGGAAAGTGCTTGATTTTTGGGCCAAGGTGCTAGACCTACTCTCAGTCAACTATCAAATATCTTCAATGCCAATTTGAAGTGTGATAGGCAGTACATGGCAGTACTGTAATGACTGCCCGCCATGTTGGGACACCCTATCAACAGGCAGCCCTGGTGCCTTCGTCATGGCATTTCTTTCCTCAGGCAGCGGCTTCTACCGAGTGTGCCAAGCGGCAGATACGGCAGCGTTGAAGTCCATCATGATCGGCTGCATGAGCTTCACGGTGTACATTGCAGGCCCCGGGCCCTGGCCATTTGAGGGTTATCATATGGTTTTTAAAGGTAAAGCCCCAGAATACTCATTTATGAAGGGCTTCATGATGCTTCTTGAATGTGAACGATGTTGTGTAAATTCTTGGTGATGGTGCGGGGCAATTTGTCAGGACAAGAGTCTATGCACAGGGGAACTGTGCGGGAAACATGTTGGCTGACAATCGCACTTGGGTGTTGACCTAAGCCTTTCCTTGAAACCAGGATGCTAATCTACAAGTATCCAGGAATTGTTCTGCTGAGAGCACGATTGGGTTCGGGGGGCAGTATGCGCAAAAAAAAGACGCGGGGAGCCAGAAAAAAAATCCTGATGTAACATTGACATTGCCCCTGCCGTCGCATCTTGGCTCCAGCTCACTAAGAAAAGACACATAAAACCTAAACGGCAGTCAGCCAACAGATCAGGCATATGCCTTCTTCACTTCAGAATTTTGCTTTACCCGGCCGACTTGCATGGATATGCTGCATTTTGTTAGGACAACCCTTGTAGGCCTGGGTATGGACAGACGCCTCAACTTGGATCTCACCGGACCTTTATAAATTCTTTATAAGTGATCACACAATAGCATTAGGTTTGAGCCAGAGAACTCACACATTTTGGATGATGCCCATTTCAAATCAACCATCCCCCTCATCAGACGCCAGGAAGGCTTCAACCATCCCCTGTTGGAAAGGTGCTCGATCAAAACGCACCCGCAAGAATTTGGAGACTTTTAAAGCATATTTGATGTATTTGGGGAAACATATCTTTGAGCCATATCCCAAAACCAAGGATCTGGTTCAATATCCAAGAACTATGCCCAGCTGGGTTATGTTGGGTTACGCGATTAACGACCGGTGAACCCTGTATTCTCACAAAATATGTTCAACCTCCATTGGTTGAAAGTTAGTTGGTCTGTCCAGATGGTTCTGTGATTTTCTAGCTAAACTTCCTTTGATGATAGCAACACCTATTAAAACCCTAAAGCCCCTACTGTAGGTTTTTATGATACTTAAAACGCACTCGAAACACGGAAAAACAGACACCATATTTCGTTGGTTTCAACGTAGCCCTTGGGTGCAACGTAGACGACGTAGCCATGGCCTCCCTGCCGGACGAAACCGGTGCCGGCCGCGACTTCGATGCGCTCTTCGCGGAGCTGCGCTCGGACCTGGGCGAGGATAACTTCCGGAACTTTTTGGTGGCCTTAAGCGGCCGGAAGCCGAAGGAGGTGAAGTACCACCCCGAAACTGGCCGTAATGAAGATGGATGAAAGAAGATGAACAAGGTATGTGGGATATAGCGGGGATATGATTGGGATATTGAATGATATTTGATAAATGAATAAATGAATAAATAAGGTATATATGAGTAACCGACAAAAATAATTGTAATACTCATTTAGTTTTGCTTTGTCTTGGCCTTTCTGAGGTTGCACAAAACCTTCATAACCAATAGGGGACGACCCTATACCGATACCATCCGATACCCCATTTGTGATACCTCCGGGAGTACTGAAATCCTCACAACCGATAGGGGACGACCCTAATTTGTGCATGGCATTAAATTTTGGGAGGGGACTGTTGTGAGAGGCAGAAAATTGAGATAAATGGCATTTTTTTTGCAAATCCTAAATAAAATTAATCCAGATATGAACAGGTTGCACTTTTAATTGTCTTTTTTGGTTCTAGATCAATCATGATTAATCTGGATTAATCTGTACAGTCAATGCAGAGAAGTGAAGGCAGATGTTGGAAACAGATGTGTGTAATTGGACAGATGTAGGGCAGATGTAGGCAGATGACTGATGTAGTGTAATTATATGCATTACTATGCAGACTATGCAGACTATGCAGACGATGCAGACTATGCGTGAACTCTCTCTCTCTCTCTGAATATTTAGAAAGTTGCCTACAAAGGTGTATAAAGATGCACTGATATCTTTGTGAACATGCCTGATCTATTTGATAAAGATGAGGATTGCAATTTCCATTTGAAAAAAAACATAAAAACAAAAAAAGCAAAAACAACAAACAAAAAAAAACAATACGTAGGGCAGATGTAGGCAGATGACTGTTGTATACTGTTGTAGTGTAATTACGTGGTGCCATGACATGTGTCAGAAACGATTCTTGTGAGGGCAAGTAGTAGGAAACTATTCTGATGAAACCATTCTTCCCCAAAACTTGTGGATTCTGCCGCTCACAACAGTCCTTTCCGTAAAATTTACATATAATTTTGTCCGCTACTAAAAAATATGTATATATATATACACATATTTATACGTACAGAGAGAGAGAGAGAGAGAGAGAGAGAGATGATGGGATAGAATGGGGATATGATGGGGGTACCGGGATGAATATCGATCGAAAAAAGATTAAACATGATGGGAGAACTGGGATATTTTGGGGTTGTCACCAGGACGCTTTTGGATTTCATCATTAGCCAGAAGATTGATGAACGGGTGGGATTTGTCTGATCTTTTGAGCCCAAGAATTTGGGGGTTTCGACTCACTTTGTTTCCCATTCCCTTGCGATGATTATCCATGAATATCCCAAAGGCTTTCATCATCTTTCATTTGTCATTTTTTTTCGAGTCAACAACCAGGAAAAGTCGCTGCACAAGGAACTCTTTGAACCTCAAAGGTGGCGGCAATGGATTGATCCTCAACTCTTAGAAATTTTGGCCAGGTGGCATCAGGCAGAAGATCCGCAGGTGAATATGGTGGATCTAGAGTCCTTCACAGCACTCAAGGCCTTAGCCCCTGGGATTTTTACCTTTCCATGTTTCACTTCAGAATTTTGCCAGATGATCCTAGAGGAGGTGAGGCACTACCAGAAGAGCGACCTACCGGAGCGGCCACCCAACAGCATGAACAACTATGGTTTGGTGCTGAATGAAATTGGGATGATGCCTCTGTTCACTCAGATGCTGTCCCAGGTCATGTCCCCTCTGGCGGCACGACTCTTTGGAAATGAGGAGGATCGTGTTGCGTCACTGAAAGGCCAGCCGACGATTGGCAACTGGGGTGGTTCCCAGCTAGATACCCATCACACTTTTGTGGTGCAGTATGCGGTGGAGAACGACAAGAATCTGGATATGCATATTGATGAGTGCGACATTACCTTTAACATCGGACTCACCGAAAACCCGGATTTTGAGGGCAACCAGCTGGCCTTTTGCGGCATGTACGATGCAGATGACCACCGGAGGCACCTGCTCACCTATAGCCATGTGAGGGGTCAATGTGTTGTCCATTGCGGGAAGCAGAGGCATGGTGCCCTTGACATAGAGCATGGTGAACGCGCTTCGCTGATCATGTGGACCAAGAGCCATGCCTTTCGCAGGACTCCTGAATACAAAAAGCTCTATGACCTTACCAGGTCACAGGTTGTGAAACGACATGCTTTTTAAATGTCAACTCCTGATGGGTCTTGGGGATAAGATCATTAATTAATTGTTGGGTGACATTTTAACCAGACCTGTCCCCTGTTCTCCTTGTTCTCCAGGTGGAATCTGAGCACCGCAGATCGGGTTTGCTTGAGCTACAGTCATGATGACGACTATGAGGAGCTGATGCCAGAGGACCTCAAATTCCAAATGCCCAAGGCCGATCCATCCGAGCCCCTCTTGGTCTCTTCCATGTGTCACCTTGATGCAGCGGGCCCCAAGGAGGGCGCTGTCCATGAGACAGGCAGCGGTGCTGATGGATCTGATAGCACACTTTGGAGTTTTGTTTGCCGAGATTCTGATGTGGCAGAAGGGCAGCAACATGTCTTTCAACTGTTTGGTCATTCACTGGTGCTTCTGCGCCACAAGGGAGAACTCTTTGCCTTGGAGGATCGTTGCAGTCACATGGGCACTAGCCTTGCTTCAGGGGATGTGGAAGACTTGGCAGATGGCCGAGCTGTGTTGCGATGCCCGGGGCACGGCATTTGCTTCGACCTTCGCACGGGGAGCAGCAACAAAACTTACAAGCAGAGAGTCTATCCACTTCGAAAGGCTGATGGGAAAATTCAGGTGCTTTTGGACCGCCTGGACCAGCGGAAACGGAAGCGAGAAATCGAGGTCCAGGAGGAATGAAGCCATTTCAATCAGACTTTGACTGCACCACGTTGAGCCAATCTGTGTTTGGGCTGTTCCAGGGTGCGGCGATGCCCATAGTTCCCGGATTCTGCAGTTGGGGAATGAAGAGCTTCCCTAGATTGGATAAATCAAGCTGCCGCAAAAAATTGCCCGGTCTTGTTCATCTCATGGCCACTTTCACATGGGATACCCATTGATGGACCTTTAGCATCCAGCAATCTCAAGGTGCTAAAGGTGTCAAAATTGCCCATCGCTTCTCAATGTTTCTGAGCCTTCCGCAGAGGCGAAGCTGTCTTTGAAGCAGGCCTGACTTGTGGGACTTGGCCGACAGCGTGTCACTTTGGCATTTTGGAGTCACAGGTGCAATGCCGGCACCGACGTCAGGAGAAACGGCCACAGCTGCATTCATTGTGGAGCGAGGCGGAAGATGGGAACATACCAAGACGTGAAACTTAAACTAGATGCTTAGAAAGACAGCTTCACTGGGCCCGGTGGGCCAAGAAATGTGGCCTCACCTGTTCCGACTTTGTTCTGTCGTAACTAGATGAGTGCTAGGGCTAAGGTGTAGATACATCTTCTGGATTGCTCAATGGCAAGATTTCTCTCTATTTTTGAAAGGGAATCATAGGGATTCCCATGGACCGGACACCATCCGAACACCAGCATTGGGCCAAAGGAACCCTGGAGTACGCCCAGAACAAGAAGACATCCAAAGTGAGGCGAAAGACTCGGGTGCAGTGCTTAGTACGCTGACCCGCTGCTATTCTCGTCACATTCAGAAGTGGTTGCGCAGTTGAAGTGGATGTACTCATGTGTGCACATGAGGGTCGTTCCAAAACCCTCCTAGCATTTAGTAGGCTGGTTTGTTGATAAAACTTTTGGGTATCTTAAAACAATGTTTTTCGATGCTTGTGTGGCTATTGTGCACCTAATTCTTATTTATAGCACTGGCAGTCTCATGCAGGTCCTGTGCTCAAATCCCCCCTGTAATTAAGCAACAAAGTAACTTGACAATCCTGTCAAAGGAGGAAGATATATTTTCTAACAAGATTATACTTTTACACGCACACACACACATGATAAATTATAAATACTAGGACTGTGAAATCAAACACCAAAACTGGGCACGAAAACATACGTAACCAAAAGTTCAGGCATGTTATGCGCACACTCATGCAGATCTATTTGCTTGCATGTCTCTGTCTCTGTCTCTCTTCTCTGTCCCTGTTTGTCTCGATATCTAACTGTCTACCAATCTACCTATCTACCTTATATACCTATATTATATACCTATATACCTATATGCCTATATATCTATCTACTATCTACCTATCCACCTATCTACTTATCTACCTATCTAATTCTCGACCTATCGACCTATCGACCTATCTACCTATCTACTTATCAACCTCTCGACCTCTCGACCTCTCGACCTATCTACCTATCTACCTATCTACCTACCCACCTATCTATCTATCTATCTATCTATCTATTTATCTATTTATCTATCTATCTATATCTATCTTTCTACCTATCTTTCTACCTGTCTTTCTATCTATCTTTCTATCTATCTTTCTATCTATCTTTCTATCTATCTTTCTATCTATCTATGTCTATCTATATCTATCTATGTCTATCTATATCTATCTATATCTATCTATATCTATCTATTTCTATCTATATCTATCTATATCTATCTATATCTATCTATATCTATCTTTATCTATCTATATCTATCTATATCTATCTATATCTATCTATATCTATCTATATATATATATCTATATCTATCTATATCAATCTATACCTATCTAATCTATCTATCTATCTATCTATCTCTATCTATCTATCTATCTAAATCTATCTAAATCTATCTATATCTATCTATCTTTATCTATATCTTTATCTATATCTTTACCAATATCTTTATCTATATCTTTATCTATATCTCTATCTATATATCTTTATCTATATCTCTATCTATATATCTATCTATATCTCTATCTATATATCTATCTATATATATATATCTATATCTATCTATATATCTATCTATGTATCTATCTATATACATATATATATATCTCTATATATATCTATCTATCTATCTATCTATCTCTATCTATATCTCTATCTCTATCTATATCTATATCTACATCTATATCTATATCTATATCTATATCTATGTATACCTATCTATATCTATCTATATTTATCTATTTTTGTCTCAAATGATCTTGTCCGGACCCTATCACCTTATCGATCTTATTTGTCTTATCTATCTTGTCTATCTTATCTTTTCTCATCTGATCTATCTTATTGTTCTTATCTATAAAATCTATCCTATCCCATCCAATCCGTCTTATCGCTTTCCATTCCATTCCATTCTGTCCCATCTTATCCCATCCTATGCCATCAAATCCAATCACATCTCACCCTATATATATATATACACATCCCTCGCTCTCTCTCTCTCTCTACCTGTGTGCGCGTGTGCAGGAGAGGAAAAAACCTAAGTTTGAAGCTAGCTCGAGTCAAGGTCTCAAAACACACCGAGATCATTCTATCGGAGCCTGCGCTCTGGAATCCAAGCCGCAAGTCCGTGACCATGGCGATGACTGCATTTGGACCATGGCCATGGCTTCATGATTGTTTTCTGGACTTTTATGGTGACCATGCTTCAATGATTTCTAGCTGATGATGTGGCAACTGACCCCTGCCAAAGGGCTGGTTATATTATGATTATTATGTTACCGTATATGGATTATATTCATGATGCAGTAGTCAGTCAGTAGTGATCAGCCTAAGCCTTCAATATCTTTTCATCGCAAGGAGGGCTTGACTCCTGTGCCGAGGACACACTGGCCGCATGTTGGGACGTTGGTCAGTCCAAACCCAGCGTCGCTGTTGAAGATTATGGTCCCTTGGTGCCCAAGCAGGGCTTATGGCACTGGATGAAGCCCTTCTTGAGCCACTGAGTGCAGGTGTAAGTGAGAAAATGAATGGACACATGGCAGTTGATCAAAAAGTGAAAATAGGTATAAAATAGTCGGGTTCTTGCAAAGAAAGCTGTCCATAGAGGTGAAAAGATGAAGAAAAAGAAACAAATAACACGGAAGAAGCAGATGTAGGGAGTTGTGTGGTGCCAGATATGATCAGATATGCACAGGAGGCAGAAAGGAACCTGTGGCAAGGATAGGCTCGTTCTCAGGTGGACAAGCACGAGAGCATCATTCGGCAAACAGCGCCTCGGCTTGTTTGCCCTATGAAAAAGACCCGAAAGGGAGCTGACATATTGCAGATCGGGCCGCCACGATGCCTTGTTTGTAGGACACAGGTGCGCAGCGATTGTGTGAAGTTCGTGTTAAGTTACACGGCATGTTGCAACGCAGTGCCTTTTCAGTCTGCAAGAATCCTGATGCAACGTGATGCGGTGGAGCACCTGCAGTGTGCAGAATACAGGTAAAACAAAAACGACGGGTTCGCGTGAGGGGTAATGATTGCGCAATTTATCATAATTCGTCGTATCAAGCCATCATCAAACGTAAAGAAGATGATGCCAGCTTGTCATACAGTCTTCCATAGGCATAGTGAAACATGACTCAAAGCAAGTCGCAAAACACAAGCACACGCAGGGTAGTTTTATGCAATGTTATTGCGGTGCTGTGATATGAAATAGATTGAGAGAGTAGTTCACACAACCTGCTTTTGGTCCCACCTCATCCAGCCAGTTGTCCTCCTTGTTTTGGAACCCGGCCCTGCCACCTTCTGCACTCCATTCACTCAGGAAGCAATGAGCGACTTCGCTGCGGAGTTTGCCTTGCAGTACCGGTGCTCCTGGCTTTTTTGTCTGAGAGCAATTTGTGAATATGTGCATGGAGGCCACGCGCACACACAGACACACAGACACACAGACACACAGACACACACACACACAGAGACACGCGCGCGCACACACACACACACGCACATAGTGTAACTATATATATATATAAACATATAAATGCGACATTAAATCACACGTATATGTACAATGTATATAACACACACATATACATATACATATGCATAATATATACATATACACACACACTGTGAATGTGCACATTTCCACTTGTCACTTGAGATTCCCCCTTTTTGCTTTCTGTGTTAAGTATAACATGCTGTAGGAACCAGCTTGAGCAACCAGAGATTGCATGAACCGAAGGTGTCACGGTTCAGGTGGACCAGGAGAGTGGCGGGTGGGCATTTGACACCCTTGCAGCCATAGGTTTTGGCATCCGTTGGCTGTGGAACAGCCTTTGCTGCAGAGGCCTGCAGATCTTGGGCGATTGGTGAGGAAAAGGTGCGTGGCCGCACCGAGCTTCTTGGAGGAGTTCAGGTTGAAGGGAATTTGGAAGAGCCCGCTATCCAATTCACATTGGTAGCGGAGCTCCCAGTCTCCATATTCTACTGGGAGCATCCGGGGACCATCCAAAATTTCTGTTTTGGCTTCAAGGTTTACTTCACGGCTTGCTTCATTTACAGTTGATTTGTGACACTGGAAAGTTTTGATCTGATGAGTGGTAGTGAAGGTGCAACAGAGGCCCAGGCTTCGATACCGAGCCAATTGGCCTATCTTGTGCCATCATTCGACCCCGCCAAGGACGACTTACAACTGTACCAGCAGAAAGTTCAATTAGTTCTGGAGGTATGGCCTGCCGGCAAGATTTCAGAGCTAGTGACAAGGTTGATTCTGAACTGTACAGGTTCCGCTTTCTCCAAACTCCAGTTGCACTTTAGTGAGCTGAAAAACAATGATCCCAAAAGTGTCAAACGGTTGATTGAGCTCCTCGGGGGTCACTGGGGAAAGACTGGATTGGAGAAGAGATTTGCAGATGCCGAACGCGCACTGTTTCAATGCAATCAACAAAGTGACGAGAGTCATGACAGCTATTTAGCCAGGGCTGATGTGCTGTGGACAAAGCTGAGAACACAGGAACTGAAATTAGAAGACTTACAAGCCTATATCACTTTGAGGGGTGCTCAGCTGTCCAGTGAGGATAAGAAGCGGATCATCTTAGACAGTGACAATTCTCTGGAAGGGAAGCTGACCATTCTGCGTGTCCAGGAATCCGTACGAATGCTTGGAACGTCCTTTTTTCATGAGATGACGGGTCAAGGTCGAAAGACGTCAAAAGCCAAGGTGTACGATCAACATGCCATGTTCACCGAGGACATCGAAAACGATATCGAAAATGAGGACCAGGTAAATCTAGCAGGTCATGAGGAATGGTTCGAGGAGGAGTTCCTGGATCAGCTAGTGCAGGAAGGAGATCATGATGCGGTGTTCGTGACCGATTTTGAGTCGGCCGCCAGTGAGCTTTTGCAATCTGACGATGATTTAGCTTCGGCATACTCAACTTACGTCGAAGCCCGTAAGAAGTTGAGCGAGAAATTCAGGTCCAGAGGGTTTTGGCCCATTGGTAAAGGTAAGTCCAAGTTCACCAAGGGTCGTGGAAAAGGCAAGTCGATGTGGGGCAGCCGGAAAAGTCTTCAGCAACGAATCATGGAGACCAACTGCCGTCTGTGTGGTCGAAAAGGGCATTGGAAAAGTGAGTGCCCGACACGTCACCAGGCAGGAGGATCAGGGGCAAGCTCAGCTGCGGTCACTTTGTCCGTGGGAAGCTCCGGTCTGCCTCAAGACCAATCCATGCCACAAGAGTTCCTGGATTTGCCCGAAGTGCCCGTTCCTGCCGCCCAGGACCATGGTTTCACTGAGTCGTGTTTTGTACAGACAGTTTTTTTCAATGAAAACACTGGGACACCAAGCATCCGAAATCCGTTGCATAACATGAGGGATAATAGATGGGAGCGAATTCGAACCTATATTAAGGGTAATAAAGGGGGAAATTCCAACGTCATGTCGCTTGTGAGCAGGATTGAAGCCAAGTTGCAAAGGCAACGCCATGAGCCCAGTGCCGCCACCACCAAGCAAGCCACGCCATTTTGGCGGAGTCGATCTGAGAGAGCCCAGCGTTCCGTGATGCATGCCACCAGAACTTGCTCAACCGAAGCAAGTGACAGCCAGAAGACTGCTGCGAGTCTTCCCAATCATGTAGATACCATCCCGGTTGCAGATGTTTTATTTGCGACACATGATACATGGGGCATAATCGATACAGGGGCTACTAAGACAGTCATGGGAAGTAAGTTTGTGCCTGAGTTCCTCAAATCCCTGAAACCTCACATTCGCAAACAGGTTCAAAGATGTTCTTGTGATGTTGTGTTTAGGTTTGGCAACCAAGGGACACTCAGTTCCACTCATGCGATGGTAGTGCCTGTTGGCGGTCTTCACCTCAAGATCGCGATTGTGCCTGGGTCCACACCGTTTCTGGTGTCGAATACCCTAATCCGTGCCCTTGGAGCTGTCGTGGACACCCAAAGAAACAGACTCACACTCCCAAAGTATCAATGTGAAATCCCACTTGAACTTGCAGAAAAGGGGTTGTATCCCATCGACACCAATGATTTGTTTGATGTGACCGCAGCTCAGAACCATCCAAATGCCATTGCCGAGACTTTTGCACAAGACAGCGATCCCGCTGCAGAAACAGTTCAGCCGACAGGGCCCCAGGAAGAGCATCGAGACACCCACGAAGTGAGCAAAATCACCAACCAATCAGATGAGAAAGGTCAAAGGTCTCAGGTGTTCAACCCAGAAGTCACCAATCCCACTTGCAGAAACCATATCACCATGCCGGCATCACCAAACATGCCGCCAGCGAATAGCCGTCCAACTCAAGTCAGCAGGATCTCATCCGAAACATCCGACATTCGACAGTGCAATGAGCCGCGACTGGACTCAACGTCTCCAGAAGGTTCAGATCGAGACGGCGAAGCCCGATCTCGAGCCGATCGATCACCTGACGTTGGCCGATCTTCAGAACGAGCCTGTGACGTTTGGCAAACTCCATCTAGGGAAATCCCACGAGGAGGTGTGGCAAAGCAGTCCCGACTGGACAAAGTGGTTTCTGTCACACTACAGCACCAGCCAGACATTGGCTCACCGCCGTATGATCAAATTCATCCAGCTGAAGATCGAACAGGCCGAGAAGGAGGGCATCCAGCCGTACAGTGCCAGCAGCCTGCCAAAGGCCAAGGCCAAGGGGATGGCGCAACCGCAGAGTGCCCAGCCCAAGAGCCTGGCGATGCCTACTCAGGGGCCAGTGATGCCAGGAGAAATGACGTCCCAACAGGGAGATTTGATCGAGGCAATGCCATGGGAGCCAGAGGACCACCGGTTGGAGGAGATGCAGAGCCTCCAACATCGAATGCTGAACCTCGAGAATGCCATGCAACAGATCATCAACCTTCTGGCACAAGAGCGTATGAATCCGTCGAATGTTCACGAGTTCCCCGATGTGACGGAGGAGGAAGCATGGACGGATCCATGGAACCAATAAGTGACTGGGTTCTTAAGGCAGGGGAAATAGATGAATTCTGTGAATCAATTCCTAATGGGGAGAGGGTTAGGTTCTGGAAATTGGTAAGCACCATTGAAACAGAACTTGATGAAATTGCAAAGAAAACGAAACCCATGGGAAAATCCATAGACCTCATCGAAGTCTTTTGCAGCTCCCAAAGTACGCTGACAGATCAAATCACGAAACAAGGCGGGACAGCAATGCGATTTGGACTTGACCAAGGTGACCTGCAGACCGCTGAGGGACGCCAGATCTTGTTCACACAGATGGCGCGTCACAGACCAAAACACGTATGGCTGAGTCCTAGATGTGCACCCTGGTCTAGTTGGTCCCGCTTTAACATGCAGAGATCCATAGACACATGGGATAAGATCCAATCTGACAGAATAACCATGCTCAGCCAGGTTGCGTTGTGTTTGGTCTTATGCCGATATCAGCATCGGAGCCAGAACCATGTTCACTGGGAACAGCCGAAGGGATCTCTCATGCTGAAACTGCCGTATGTCCAAGAAATCTATAGGTACATGAATGCAGCCCGACCTGACATGTGCCATGCAGGAGAACTACGAGATCCAAGCAACAACATGCTCATGAAAAAGGGTATGGAAATCCTCACTACTTCAAGACATGTCCATGATACCCTAGATCCCCTCAAATGCACCGGAGATCACCATCAAGCAATTGAAGGTACTACCCAGACCATGCAGGGTTCTGTTGCTCGATCAGCCTGGTCAGAGTTGTATCCTCGCAAGTTCTCCCGGCTTGTGGCAAAAGCATTGCTGAAAAGGTGGGTACATCCCGAAAAGCCCATGGGACACCTTCCCGACAGTGCACTAATGATGTTTGATGCAAGTTGTCATGCAGACAAAGCTTTTGCTACCGATGGCCGTGCAGCCAAGAGGAGAAAGCAGAACCAGCCCCGTGGGACAAAGTCCTTTGCCGCAGCCAGACCATCCGAGGAGGGTCCCATGCCCAAGAGAACCAAGGTTCAAGAGGGAAGTGAGAGTGAGAGAATGCCTGATCCACCTATGTCCAGAGCCGAGAACCAGAGCATGGATGAGGCAAGGCTCATTGTCCAGGAAGTTGAAAAGGTTCTTCCACGGGTAGGTAAAAGGGTTATTGATCAACCAAAGATCATAAACATGGTCCAAAAGCTGTTTCATGACAAGGAGATCAAGGGGATACTTGCATGCAAGGGAACCGATAGAAGGTATGGGCCCCCTAAGACCATAACACCTGCAGAAGCACCATACCGAAGATCCATCATGAAACATCGGGAGACCTTAGAAACAATCATGGATGAAGAATGGGAGAAGTATGATGAGATATCCAACCGAAAGTTAATTAGAAAGTCCCCTCCATGTCGGATCAGTATAACTGTGTTTGCGGCCAATCCAGCACTTCCGACCAGCGTCCATAATTCGTGCCCAGCAGAGTCAGCGAAGCCTGATTCCCCGTCGAGCGTGCCGCAGGTGACACCCGAAGTTCCGGCCAGGGATACAAGCCCAGAGAATGCCAAAGGGTCAAAAGGAGAAGAGATATCTGAAGAGAAGACGCCAGAGACACCAGAAGATAAGAAAGAAGACCAAGAAACTGCAATGGAGAAAGAAAGACCCGATGTGGAATCTCATGGGCCCCGCTTTCGAGCTCTCCCAAAAGAGGAGCAGGCCATGATCAAGCGCGCTCACCAAAATCTATGTCACCCGAGCCATGAACAACTTGGCTCAGTATTGCGCGCTCAGGGATGCAGACCTGAAATCATCCAAGCTTTGCCTGATCTGAGATGCCCTACATGCGTTGCATGCCAGCGACCCAAGGTAGCACGTCCAAGCACTCTGAAACATGAACTTGACTTTAATGACAAGATTTTTGTGGATGGAGTTTCATGGACAAATAGCCAAGGGAAAATGTTTCATTTTTACCATGTGCTAGACCAAGCTACCAACTACCATGTCGCCGTGCCTGCTCCCAGTCGAGCCGCTGAACAGGCAATCCAAAAATTGTCTGAAGCCTGGTTCCTTTGGGCTGGACCACCAAATGCAGTTGTGACCGACCCAGCAACAGAGTTCACAAGTGAAGTGTTCGAAAGGTTCCTGCAGAGACATGATGTAAAGGGAATAACAACAGCAGAGCATGCACACTGGCAAAACGGAAGATGCGAAAGGCATGGCCAGGTGCTCCAGCACATGCTTACAAAGATAGACAAAGACATGCCAATCCAAACATACACAGATCTCCAGCAAGCCTTGATCCAGAGCACTCATGCCAAGAACTCACTGAGCATTCGTAGAGGATACTCCCCAGAAATCTTGGTTTTCGGAAAAAGCACACGCCTTCCAGGGTCGTTGATCAGCAGCGGGTCCGAGTCAGCCTTAGAAAGTGCCGACAGAGAGGATGCACATGGCATCGAGTTCCGTAGAAGACTCTCCATAAGGGAGAAAGCAAGGGCCGCTTTCCATGAGGCGGACAACAACATGGCGCTGCGTAGAGCCTGTCTACGCCGCACACGTCCCGACCGGGACGCATACATGCCAGGAGAATGGGTGATGATGTGGCAACCCCAAAATGTAGGACAAGGTACATGGTTTGGGCCACTCAAAGTTGTAACCCAAGAAAAGGGACAAGCTGTATGGGCAACCATGTGCGGCAAGCTTCACCGCAGGGCTCCTGAACATGTGCGTCCGGTGTGTGCCGACGAGGCTCGAAAAATCCCGGAAATGGAGGACATTGCATCCGAAATCATGCCACCAAATAATGATCCACTAATTGAAATACCCAATAATCCACCTGATCATAATAATCAAGAAGAAAATAATCCCAATACCATAAACCCTGAAGATGACAATCAATCCCAAGAACAACCTGATGGGGAACCTGAAGAAATCAGTCCAGAACATTCACAAGGAAATCATCCTTCCGAATTGGATCATGTCAACATTCCAATCAATGAGGAATCACCAGATGATGACCTGGTAACCACCCATTTGCTGTGTTGTGACGATGAGGTGATGTCCATTGATCCGAAGCAGACTCCGTGTGCCTGGCGATGTGAATTCGAGGTTCCATCACAGATACCGAAAACCGAAGACGCAACCATGTCAGCTGAAGCTGTGTTGCTGGCAACCACTGAAAAGAAGCAACGCAGGGAGATCAAACTCTCCACACTCAGCCCTGAAGAAATCCGTGCTTTCAACGAAGCGAAAGATGTAGAAGTCAAGAACTGGATAAGCACTGGAACGGTATCAAAAATTCTTAGGAATAAGCTGGCACCCGAGCAGATAATGAGATGCAGATGGATACTGACTTGGAAACCCATAGAAGGTAAGACCCCTACTGAAACTACGGGATCTAAGCTGAGTACCCATAAACCCAAAGCCAGACTAGTAGTTCTCGGATACATGGATCCAAATATCACCGAAATCCCCAGGGACAGTCCAACGCTTGGCCGACAGTCAAAGATGCTTTTGCTGCAGCTGATTGCGTCATGTGGATGGTACTTGGGGTCTTTCGACATCCGTGCAGCTTTCCTGCAAGGAAAACCACAGCAAGACCGTGTCATGGGTTTGGAGCCAGTCAAAGAGCTTGCACATGCATTGGAACTGAAGGACTCAGAAGTTTGTAAGTTGGATAAATCAGCGTATGGACTCATAGATGCACCCTACCTATGGTATAAGACACTGCAAGAAGAGCTGATGAAACTCCAATTTACTCCATGTCCTTTTGACCCATGCGTGTTTGTCCTGCGAGACCCACACACCAACGAACTAGCCGGAGCTTTGGGAATCCATGTTGATGACGGAATCTATGGGGGAAATGAATACTTTCACTCACAAATTTCCAAACTTGAAAAGAAATATCCTTTTGGATCAAAGAAATCACATGCATTTACTTTCACCGGAATTGAACTTCAGCAACATCCAAACAAAAGTATCGAGCTTTCCCAATCAAAGTATGTCAATAGTATTCAGCCCATAGTTCTCAAAGCCGAGAGGAAATGTCAAGAAGAGTCCAAGGTCACTGAAGAAGAGAGACATTTGCTAAGAGGGCTTGTGGGGTCCTTGCAGTACGCAGCGGTACACACAAGACCGGATCTGAGCAGTGCGTTAAGCCACCTACAATCACAAATCAACAGTGCCACCGTGTCCACCCTGTTGACAGCCAACAAAGTGTTGCATACTGCCAAGAAACACAGTGATGTCACAATTACCATACAACCAATATCCAAAGATGACGTGCGCTTTATCGCTTTCTCAGATGCGTCTTTTGCCTCAAAAACCAAACCGGAATCCCACGCAGGAATGATCATATTGGCCACACATAAAGAGATATCCCAGAACAAATCATGTCCCATAAGTCCACTGTCATGGGGAACCAAGAAAATCCAGCGAATTGTCACGAGCACTTTATCAGCCGAAACATCCGCACTTTCAACCACCCTTGATCAACTTACATGGATAAGACTATACTGGGCATGGATCTTAAACCCCAAAATTAATTGGCAGAAACCAGAGACAATCAATAACCTTCCAAATGCAATATCCATTCCCACTTTCAAAGCCACTGAACAAGACCTTGCCATTACCGATTGTAAGAGCCTATATGATCTCACAACCAGAACAGCTGTTCCCAATTGTCAAGAGTTTAGAACACAACTTCTTGCCAGAGCCATCAAGGATGTGTTGTCAGAGGGCATAAGATTGCATTGGGTTCACTCGGGAGCGCAGCTCGCAGACGCGCTCACGAAGGTGATGGAAGCCAATTTCTTGCGCCAGACTCTCCGACAGGGAAAATACTGTTTACACGATGTTGAGGAAGTTTTGAAAAACAGAGCATCATCACGAAATCGCTTGCGTTGGCTGAAAAGCACCAACGGTGAAATGTGCACTTTAGATCAAAAAAATTGAAAATTAGGGAATGTGAATGTGCACATTTCCACTTGTCACTTGAGATTCCCCCTTTTTGCTTTCTGTGTTAAGTATAACATGCTGTAGGAACCAGCTTGAGCAACCAGAGATTGCATGAACCGAAGGTGTCACGGTTCAGGTGGACCAGGAGAGTGGCGGGTGGGCATTTGACACCCTTGCAGCCATAGGTTTTGGCATCCGTTGGCTGTGGAACAGCCTTTGCTGCAAAGGCCTGCAGATCTTGGGCGATTGGTGAGGAAAAGGTGCGTGGCCGCACCGAGCTTCTTGGAGGAGTTCAGGTTGAAGGGAATTTGGAAGAGCCCGCTATCCAATTCACAACACACATATATATATGTATACACATCACGTGATTGCATCCCAGTGTCCCTTGGGCTTGGGGTGCACCTTGGCTTGGCTTTGGGATATTCTGCGTGAGTGACGTCGGGATGGCCATGGCAAAGGTCATTCCCACAGTAGGAGGCTCCCTAATATTGGAAAGGATTGCAAGCACGGGGAATGATGACTAGTGCCTACTCATGTTTCTTTAGATTGCTTTGGCAATGGGCCATGTTTGTTGATTATGCTTGCCTATGCTTGCCTGGCATTTTGGCTCTGGCAATGCGGTTTTTGAGTATTGCATGAAGTGGGCCCCATTTACCTCTCAATACGGCATGCATCAGTATGAGCCGACTTAAACACCATCTCCCCATCTCCACACCATCACACCTAAAGCTTCTTCCCATCCCTTAGTCAATGCAGCCTTAGTCAATTCGAATTCCCATTCATCCCCCTGTTGTTGGTGGTTAACTCCTCAATTTCTGCTGCTTGGCATGACCGACTTCGAGCCAATCCAACGGCGCCGGGTGCAGCCGAGAGCAAAGGACGTAACGAACTTGAAACTCCTGACGCTGGGCGATTCTGGTGCCGTGGTGGCAGGACAATGAGGGGTCTGTTCCATGAAATCCATGAAGCTCCTTGAGGCATGTAGGTAAAAACAAGCGAAAACCCAGCTTGATTCTGCCACCTAGGGCCCGGTGCTGCGTGGCAGCACATTCTGAGGTGCTGGCAAATCCACGCTGGTCCAGGCTTTCTGCACTGAAGATGGGGTATTTGAGCCTGGCGCCGAGTCGGGGCCCACTGTAGGGGCAGACTTCAAAGTTCGGATGCTGAAGCATGCGGGCAAGGACTGGCTACAAATGCTGTTTCCATTTGTTTCCTAGGTCCTAGGTTCAGTATGTTCAGATTCTGGTTCCAGTTGATGTTATTTCACCCAGCATGCTACATTCGTGTTTCGCTTGCTTACTGAGTTGGAGCCATCTAACGTTGCGATGGATCAATGAGGGACATTTTGTGATGTTTTTACGTTGTAGCTTCATTTACATCTTGTTATCAGGACTTCCGCGTCAACATTTGGGATGCCAGCGGAGATCTTAAGTTCATGGACGTGCGAAATGAGTTCTACAAGGAAACGCAGGGAGTGATCTTGGCCCTTTGGCTGCCCTTGCGTAGAGGTGTAGAAGAAACAGGGGGCAGAGGGCTTCCTGCAGCTGCCAGCAGGTTTTCAATCTAGACTGTAGATGTTTTCGGGAGTTTGTTGGTATCATTGTCCAGTGCAACTTTCAAACTCGGGATGATAGGATAGGATAGGGACTTGGTTGAGTGCACTACCAACGTACTGAAGTGAAGAGAATTCAAGTCTGAGAATGCGGTGGTCAATCATGATTGGTGTAGGCCAGAAGCTTGGGGTCCTGACGTCCTGACGAACGTGCTAGTCAGGTCTTTGATGTGACTTCCAGACGATCCTTCCAGAATTTGGAGAAGTGGATGGATGAGGTGGCAAAGTACGCTCAAGGAAGCGAACCTTTGTACGCGTCGCTGGGTCTGTTGATTTCGGCGTTCGATCACACGAGTTTTAGGTGTCCAAATTCACAGGGGAAAGGGGGGGCACCGTTTTTTGCTCCAACACATTTGAGGCACCAGGAAAATTAAAGAGAGTGAGAGAGAAACAGTACCAAGGAGATGGTGTACCACAAGATTTGGCCACAGGCAAATCCTCCCTTTTTAAAAATGGGTCAGTAAGTAGGTGGTGTGCTCTCTAAAGGGTTTCCAGGTTCGAGTTGCGGAATCTGCTTCCAGGTTGGTTGGGACGAAGATCGACCTTGCCACGCGTTTGGTACAGGAGCCGGTGGCTCGAGATTGGGCCAAGAGCAAAGGCATGCCCTACTTCGAGGTTTCAGCGGCACAAGGCCGAAATGTGGAAACGGTCTTCAAAGAAATGGCCAGCCGTCTGTCCTGAGCAAAAAGATCACCGCGGAAAGGCCAATCGCATCGAATAGCTGCTTACAGAACTGGGGGGCCCTTAGCTGGGAAGGGTTTCCCAAACAAATAAATAATTACACGCGCATATACTTATATATATATAATTTACATTGATAATATGATGATATACCGATAGATGATTATATAATTCTATAACTATGTACAACTATATTAATATATGTAAAAAACGTGTTGTATGTAACTTACGCTGCTACGGAGACGGGGGTTCCATTTACTCGATACTCTGGGACTTCCCCAACCATGCCCAGCCAGGCAGCGTCTGGCGATGGGCCATCCACCCCAGGTTGAGACATGGGGGACCCATATGGGTGTATCCAAAATTGGGGAATACCCCAAATGGTAGTTTCACAGATCTTGATGTATGGAGAAGATGATCACTTCTTGGACCAACCCGTATGGACTCAGGATATTTGGATCAAGGAGACTAGACCTGGCTGACTCATGGACATAACTAAGGGTCCGACACAAGAAGTACGTTGCTAGTCCAGCTTTGATCCAGGGTCTTCTCCATCTTCCAATTCGGATGGCTTGAGGAAGTTCACACAAACATTCCGGGGAGAGAGAGAGAGAGAAGTGTCCACGTCCCCAAAGAATGCCGCCCTATGTGTCTAAAACTACACACAGTACACACATACATGCCATTGATGCAACGCATCATGCACGCTTCCAAAGTGGACCTTTGCTATTTGAAGGCGAATTGGCCTAGCGACTTGGAAGTCCCGTGGGGTGCCCCAGTCAGCGGAGTTAAAAAGGTTTTGTCCATAGCTCATCTCGTTTATATCATTCGATTTTGATTATCATGATGATTGTTATTGTTTTGGTTTCTTTAAACAAAAATATTTGGATGAATAATATTGTTGAATGATGATGATGATGATGGTGATGGTGATGATGATGATGATGGTGATGATGGTGATGGTGATGATGATGATGATGGTGATGATGATGATGATGATGCTGATGCTGATGATGCTGATGCTGATGATGCTGATGCTGATGCTGATGCTGGTGGCGGTGGTTGCGATGACATGCATGTTTGACAATCATTGACCCGCATGATAGGACGCATTCTTGCGCAGCATTTTCGCCTCATTTTAAGCGCCTGAAAAATCGCTGGAAGGTAAGCCGCAGTGTCAGCCAGTTGTGTATTGGCTAGCGAGATGCCAGGCATACCAGCTTTGATGAAATCATCGTGAATTCCTCGAGGGACACCAGGCAGGATGCTGTGAAGATTGGGGTGCACCAGAAGCCTCCGAATCCACCGCAAAAGGGCCATGTATCAATATGTGCGTATTCTATTTACATCTATCCAACTGCTTCAAGAAAAGGGTTCTGTTGATCCATCATGACCCAGCTGAATCCCTTCAGCTTCGTTGCGAAGCGTAGGCGCTTGGTGAGCAATCTGGCCTTGGAACATCTAAAAGATCAGGCGCCGGTGGATGGAACAGTAGGACTTGAGCAGATGAAGAATTTCCCTGCGAGAATGGTTGATTAATGTACCTATTATGTTGCACGTGTGAAGGCTGCCTGGCTGAAGCAGGAAGACACGTAAACGATTTGTTTGCACACATACATGTGTTTACATGTGCAGCTGAATGAGACGGATTCTCAAACTCCCGTTGGGCGATTCGGGTTTCTGAAAACGGCGTACGCCGAATGCCTCGAAGATGTCAATGTTCAGGCGAAAATTGGATTTCGGGGTATACTATTCTTTGACAAAAGGGGGGGACATCATAGCAAAGCCTTGCTGTGAGGCCTCATCAGCTTGGGGAAGAACGTGCCTTGGTCATCGCTGTCGGCAGAGTCTTATTTGAGGTAGCAATATAGCCATAGCCAAATTATGCCAAATTCATTTTTTGGCAGTGCATTTTGTTCTTTTTTCTTCATGTGGACATGCTGTAGATTTTGTTTTAATGATTTTATGTTGTCATTGCCCTTGAACGGCTCACACAAAGTTTCTTGACCATCTTTCACCGTCATCATGTCTATCGTCATCAGTTTCAAGATCAGCTTCACGATCACCAGCCAGAACATTTCCGCACCATCATCAGCCCCAAAAAGTCTTCCCACGGCCCAAAGGTGAAGTTCTTGTGCCGTAGCTGCCGTAGCTGTCGTCTTAGGTTCGGCAATGTGACAGGCAATCCGCCAAAGAATCTGGACGCATTGGAAAAAGAAGTGGACAAAGACAAGCAGCTTGATGGCAGATGCTGACCGGAAAGGGATCTGAATTGGCAATTGAAGTCCGTTCTTCAAGCTGAGCAGCTCATGCGTTGGCACCGATGCAATTCAGCATTGCTTCTCATTGTCTGAGCTGCCCATGTTAGGTGCACGCTCATAACAACAATGAATGGAGAGACTTTGCTGAACTTGGTGTGTGAGGTTGTGGGTGACAATCTTCCCCAAATATCCAAGATTGATGCAGGTGGAGTTCTGAAATACATGGGCCGGTCGCATACCAGCACCAGACATCGTCCTGGAAAGTTTGATTGCGAAGCCCTGTGGGCGGAAACGGGACGCCAGTTTCACAGGCTAATATCTTATGGCTGTACTGTGCAGCGTCCTACCAATTGACCCCAAAAAAATTCTAGCTCGTATTGACCCTTTGGCCCATGGGTGTCAAACAGTCTTTTTGGAACAGCTTCATTCAGAAGCAATTCGCGTGTTTACGATTCTTTTTTCTTGGGTAGTGTGACATACATGTATACACATTCTTATGCCTGTGTCACACACACACATGCGCGAAAAACACGAACACACACACGCACACACAGATGGATGGATGGATGGATGGATAGATGGATAGATGGATAGATGGATAGATTGGATAGATTGGATAGATTGGATAGATCGGATAGATTGGATAGATTGGATAGATTGGATAGATTTGATAGATTGGATAGATTGGATAGATAGATACATAGATAGATAGATAGATAGATAGATAGATAGATAGATAGATAGATAGATTAGATAGATAGATTAGATAGCAAGATAGATGGATAGATGGATAGATGGATAGATGGATAGATAGATGGATAGATGGATAGATGGATAGATGGATAGATGGATAGATAGATAGATAGATAGATAGACAGACATATAGATAGATAGATAGAATAGAATAGAATAAAATAGAATAGAATAGA